TAAAACATGCAAATTAGACATGTGCACCTCTCTATGAACTTCAAGCTACTTGAAACAAGCAGATTTTGTTTTGCATACTTCCTACTATACTTGTTTATGCCTGTGAAATCCCAAATGTTTCCTCTAAAGAGGTAACTTAGTCTTTTTGAATCATTATGAATCAAGACTGAAGTCTAGAATTAGCATCATAAATGATTTGGAGAAAAATGGGGAAATGCATCAGAGGAAGACTATAGTAATGGCAGATGATCTCATGTTAAGAGACACTTGTTAACTGCAGAAGCTGAAAATTGGATGATGTTTAATAGGATTTGCTGTGGAAGTAGCAAATCTGCTTCCAGATTCTTTGAAACACAGTTTTGCAAAGACAGTATTTATGAAGAAAGACAGAAGTGGCTGGTCAGGCAAAGGAGTTTGGTAGCCAGTAATTTTCTTCATTCCTGTGTTGGTCAGACTATTGCACTTCTAAAAGTGTCAGAAATTTCATTCTATTGAAAGGAACAATGTTTACTCCCATTCACTGAAGTTTGGTATGTGTGTATAAATACTTATGCGTGTAAATATACATGTAAATTATATAGAAAATATATATATGTTGGACATGAGGGAGATAGATCAATTTTCCAGGTGTGGCACATGCTTTCAAAAGACTTCTTTGGGTTAGTTTGAGTGACAAGACTGAATTCTCTCAGAAATTATTAATGGCATTTTTTGGAATGAGCTTGTAGTTCCTGCAAAAAGCCTGCTGCAGAATGAGCTCAAAGTTAACAGTGTAAGCTATTTCTTCTTACAGAATTATCAAACAGGTAAGTTATAATTCGACATTTAGTTTGTGTATTTTTGAATTTTGAGCTTAATGTAGTATGTGTTTCATAATGGGCTCTCAATGTAGCTGCCTTTTGCTGTTGACTCAATGCACAGAAAAGTGACAAAATATATCAGACAAAGGATTTCACTTAATTTTATTAACATCTACCCTATCAATGAGACCTCCTAGAGGAAGTTTTATATCCTGAATTGAGAGGAATTCCATTGGTTTCCCTGCTCAAAAAGATCCCTCAGAAAAGGCTATGTTTTCAAGTAGCTGATCAACAGCAGGTCAACAGCAGGTCAACAGCAAAAAGAATTGTGACAGTCAAGGAGGAATCATCAGGAACAAAAACCAAGATCCTCTGCCTTTCAGTTTTCTGCTGGTTGATCAAGAGCAGGTAGTGAGAAAATCATTGACAGGTCTCTTAAATGTACCCAGAATTATCTTTTGAATTTGTGTTCAATGAAGGAATAGGAAATGTGGAAGGAGCTATTGAAAGTTCTGCAATTGCTTTTTCTTTGCACTTCAGGATCTTGATAGAAGTATTGATGAGTCCTGTTTAACAAGGCCATAATTTTTCACTTGGGTCATAAAAGACTCCTTATTCTTCCTGTGATTACAATTTTTAATTTTTTTTTTTACTTTGCAGCTTCTAAAAATAGGACCTTATAGCTTCTTTTCATCTGCAGAATACTGAAAATTTCATGGAATGTTGTAAATAGAGTAGCATGGATTTTAGCTTGCATTCTCCTTTATAGATACCTAGATTGCAAAACCAGTGTCGTTTTTGAGTGTTCATACACTCTATTGTGTGTGGTGAATTTTCTGGACATATTTGTAGATTTTTCAGTGCTTTTCATCATGATATTGTGAGTCAACCTAAGCAAAATTAAAATCAAATAAGCATTCTGAATTTATTGTGTTCTTGACACTGAGAAGAAGTCAAAATAGTCCCTTTTTCTCTTAGTTTTGGCAAAACCATTCCTAATGAAAGTAAAAATTTGTTTTGAAGGTAAATTGTAGCATTGATCACAGTTTACTTTAAACAGATGGATAAGAATGGGTAGGTGACCTGGTAGTTCATTCTGTGCCAACTGTGCATTTTAAAGTATTTTGCACAGTCCGTAGTGTGCCAGAAAATAATGCTTTACTGCTTTCCTT